CCCCAAAACCCCAAAACCCCAAAACCCCATAGTACAATATTTCCTTTTAACATTAAGGGTAATAAGATTACTTAAAATAATCATAAAAATATGAATTATAAATCTTTTAAATTTTAAGATATAAACAATAGAAATGAATACCGCTTACTTATCAGTTTTACCATTTGTTGTCCTTAATCTTGGGGGTGAGATGATCTTTATTTTGGATTAGAGACTAAGAGCCCAAGAAATCGGAAATGAAAGATCTTAAAAAGTATTGCAGGATGTGGTCAAGACTATGCTTTCCAAGAAATTTGTAGAGGAACTTTTCAGGCCTTAAGAGATGTATTCAATGACAAGCACTAGACAAATATTTGAAAAGCTAGCTCATTCATCTATTATGAAACTGAATGCAACCAGCATGGGCAAACTATTTGATTTGATGTTGATGGGAATGAAATATCAGTTCTTATCTTGTACTTCACCTGATGAAATATACAATGTTACAATCACTCATTTGCAAGCAATTGCAGATTTGATCAAAGGATCTTCAGTTGAGCTTCTAGTCAATGATTGCATGCAGTAATTTAAGGCTTTATGCTCTTAATTCACAGCTTATCACATGATGATTGTCAAACAGCAGATCTATAAATTCTTCCAGGACAAGCATATTAAGGTCTCACTTTTTATCTAAGACGGCATTTAGGGTCTAGACGGTACAATCTATTTGAATTTTTCTGGAGAAGGAGTGATTTTCGGAGAGAAGCCTGGCTCTTGTAAATTTTATGACTAAAACAAGGAAGTCTCAAGGGAGAATTAGATCAATTTGATTCATTCTTAATACTGGAAACCAAATCCATTAACTAAGAGAATGACTCACACAACCTAACCTCACCTAGGAACCAATATGTATGCTGCTGAAAGAGTAAAGCCGCCTATTCCTTAAAAAATTGAAGAGCAAGAAGATTAGGTCATAGAAGAGGCAAAAATTAAGAGAGTCTAACTTGAAGAACAAAAATAGAAGGCTTCAAGAAATACTGAGGGTAGCTCAGAGTAAGTTACAAATGAATTCAATTAATTGGCTGATTTGATATGCCCAAGTTCAGATACAAATGATGATTTCAAACTAAATCTATTCCCAGAGTCCTAGAGCTATTCGGGAGGACCAACTTAAGCATCAGACAACATCATAAATATAGATTTAGGAAAGTAGGGTAAAAGTGAATAGCTTAAGAAATTAGCTCATGATTTTGATGACCTAGATTTAGATTCTGGTAATTAGGCTAATACAGGCGACGAGCTCCTTGACTTAATGGATGGGTGAATTAAAGTGATTAATCTCATTAATGCATTACTCTTTAGGAAATATGATTATTAATTTCTTTAATACTTAATAATACTAAAATATAAACAACAATATTAATTATTAAGTTAAATCGTCAATTAAAATGGAGTATATAGGAGATCAATTTGTTACTTCAGAGGTTTCGATGAGAATAGTTGTGCCTGGAGATTATGTCGACGAGGGATTCATTGCTGGTCATGGTACATATGAGCAAGAAGGAAAAATTTATGCCTCGTTAGCTGGCATTGTTCATAGAATCGATAAAGTTATCTGTGTAAAGCCATTGAAAACAAGTTTTAAGCCTGATATTGGAGATGTAATTATAGGTAGAATAGTAGCAGTGGAGAATAAGAGATGGACTGTAGATATCAATTCATATCAGCATGGAGTGCTCAATCTGACTAATATCAATCTACCAGGTGGATTGTAGAGAAGAAGATCTGAAGAAGATAAAATGTAGATGAGAAATTACTTCAAGGAAAATGATATCATAAGTGGGGAAGTTTAGAGCATAAATACTCATGATGGCAAAATTAATATGCAGACAAGAAATCTAAAGTATGGTAAATTGATCAACGGATTTCTCATAAAAGTAGATCATAACTATATTAGAAGAATGAAAAGTCACATTCTTGAGTTCTTCTAAGAGGACTGGCAACCCATTGCCTGTATTATTGGAACAAATGGGTATATTTGGATATATACACCAGATAAACTTACTTAGAATACTTAGTAATCAGAAGTTAAGGTGATATCTAAAGAAACAAGAGTAAAGATGGCTGTGCTTAGAAACTCAATCATTATATTGGAAAAGGTATAGTTACCAATCTTCAAGGATACTATTCAAAAAGTTCTAGACTCATAAAGACAGAATGCTATTGAGGCCAAGGATATGCTAAAAAGCTATGAAATACTTGGAAAGGAAGCAAAGTATTTGATTGAATCTGAAATTAACTTGAAGAAGCCTGTAAATCTTCAATTAATCTAGACTGATATAAATAATCAAGATTTCATAATGAATTGATGATATTCACTTTGAAGGATAATTAATTAAAATGATTTAATTTTTGAGGAAAGAATTGATTAAATTTCATTAGTTATTTCAAAAACCTACTGTTGGGGTTTTGGGGTTTTGGGGTTTTGGGG